ATTGAAATTGAAATTGACATCAAATTAAAGCAAATAGCATCTTAAGCAAGCATATTTTTTCAATAATAATTGTAATAATAATTTGAAATTACAAAATCGGACTTGAAATTGTAGTTTTTTTTTCTTCTCCTTTTTATTGTATCAAGTCATTATTTATTTTAACTCATTGCATGTTTAATGTTGTAAAGTAGATAAAATGTGGGAAGGTTATTTATAGGTAACTCAAGTTAAGTTACATATAATATTATTGTAACAAAATTACTTTTAATATTAAATGTAATTTTAAATTTACACGTAAAAAAAACATGAAATATATATAAGTAGGTAGTGATATAAGCTGACAAGCAATCTTTGTTTAGACATGTTTTTCGTATTCAATGATATGTACTAGAAATTCAGATTTAACACATTCATAACTGTGACATACTTGACACCTATTAATATACAGTAGAGAAATGCTCACCTTTTTATTTATGATTTTAATTATTAATAAAATATAAAATACCAATATATAAAAAAAAAAATGAAGAGAATTATTTTTTTACAGGTAAAATTAAATTACCTTTAAAAATAATTATAATTATATTATTCTTGAGTTACTTTTTTCATAAAGCAAATGGATACCACGCTGCTGTATATTATATGTCAATTATGAGCGTGTTAAATTTGAATTCAATAAAATACCTATCATTACAAACAATATAAACGAAAAATGATTCAAAGCATTTTAATAAGTACGTTGCTTTTTTGATATAAAGTTATTAATAATTTATTTTATTTTGAAATATTACAGTAATTGACTTAATTTTTCCAAAAATATTGCATTTATTATTTTATTAATATTTAATCATAATAGTATTTATTTATCCTATACATTATATAAAATTAAATAACTCAAAATGTAATAATATTTTCCTATAAAGACTATTAAACAGTAAAAATAGATTTACAATGTAAATATATAATATATAGTATTTTTTAAATAAATTAAAAATGTCATTACGAGTATAATTATTTATTTTTTGTCATAATAATTTATTATAAGAAAAAAATTAAAGTCTCCGCCAATAATGTTTTTAAATTTTAACGAAATAATTATCATCGTTATTTATCGTTTAAATTAGTAATTTCGTATAAATTTTAACTTCAAATGTCTATAATGTATGTAAAAGATCCTTTTTTTCTCCTATATTTCTTATTTTTTTCAATTATTTTGTAAAGTATTAAAAATTTTCATTTTTGACCTCCAAAAAGCAACACTAGGTTTGATGTGTTACAGAAAACCCTCAAAGTTGAAAATTCAAGTATTTTTATCGGTGTGAAAAAATCAGATACAAAAATAAAAACACACAAACATCATTGTTAAGTTAATACATTTATCAATTTGTTCAGAATCTAAAAGTCAAGTTGCGTTTTATTTAATATTATTCCATTAATTTTAAAACATATTGTTTTGATAAACTTGTTTTTTGAAATTTGACTAACCAGTGTATTTTTGTCACTGTTGATTTAATAAAGTACATTTAAATTTTCATCACAGTTCATATGATGTGCATTTATAATTTTGTAGCAGTTCACTATCTCCCAATTCTAGAAACCATATGAAAGCTTAACAATTAAAATACTTTGTAATTGTTAAGCACAATACATATGCATTCACACGCTTACGATAATAAAATATTTTTTTGGATTCGTTATAAAAAATAAAATGGAATTTCTACAACCCCATAAACTTATAGTGACTGGCAGTGTTTTTATGAGTACCTACTTAGAATATATTATGTATCTACCAGTAAGACAATTTTCATAACCAACGATACACTGTTTTTTTTTTCAAAGTATTGGAGTATTACACACTTGTACTTAATGTTGCACAATATATCTAATGTAGTCCTAAGAATTAAGATTTTCCAATATTTAGGAAAAATTATGAAAATAAAATATTATTTATAAATATAATGCAAAACATGCCTATTTATATGCAAACTTAGTTTTGCATTTATAAATAGTTATTTCTTCTCAAAACGAAGTAAATTAAAAGATTTAAAGAAACGACTACAGGTGTCATCAACATACCTATTTCGATAATAAAACTTATAGTTTATGAAATATTTAAGATTACATTTTTCTTGATTTTTTTATTGGAAATATAAAGTACGCTTATTTAAATGTTGATTGAAAAAAAATAATAAATAATAATTTCTTGTCAAACATTTTTCATATTTTGTTGTACTTTAAAAAAAAACAGTAGGTATTTAAAATATTCACTATCTGCTTATATTATTATTTATAATTACAATTCAATTTTTAAATAATTTTAATCTTTTTAATCTATTATTAAATTGTTATAGCTTGACAAATATTTAATTTTTTTTTAGTTTTTTTTTTTCTATAATTTTAAATTTAAAATCATTCACCGAACAAAAGTCTTGATATTTTAATACAAGATTCCATATAAGTTTTTTTCGTATTTGTGTAAAAATTTAAAAATACATAGACTCAATTTCTTTTATGTGCATTTGAAATTAGAATGTTGATGGAATTCGTCAAAATCACAAAAAAATTAAAACTATTTTATAGTTAGAAATTCATAGAAAAAAAAAAAAAATAGAATGTGAAAATTTCAAATTGAAAGGGGAAGCTTAGAAATGGACCTACTTCAAATGCTTATAAAAATTGATAGAATTTGTTTTATGTATAAAGGTTGAAAAACTTATAAAAAAAAGAATCGAAATAAATTTTCAAGTATATCCACCAAGATATTAATTTTTTTCAATCAACATTTAAATAAGCGTACTTTATATTTCCAATAAAAAAATTTAGAAAAATGTAATCTTAAATATTTAATAAACTATAAGTTTTATTATCGAAATAAGTATGTTGATGACACCTGTAGTCGTTTCTTTAAATCTTTTAATTTACTTCGTTTTGAGAAGAAATAACTATTTATAAATGCAAAACTAAGTTTGCATATAAATAGGTATGTTTTGCATTATATTTATAAATAATATTTTATTTTCATAATTTTTCCTAAGTATTGGAAAATCTTAATTCTTAGGACTAATATAACTTTGACTTAGTGGGTGATGGGGTTCGTGTTGATTTCTAAAATATGTTTTTTTTTGTTCATGTAGATAAAATTTTTTATGTTTTATTTCGAAAAATAATAATTATAAGTATAATTATCATTTTAACTCCCGCAATGACCAGTAACAGTGATCACCATCTGAATTTCATCATACTATCGTATATTATGTTATATCTATCAGCTACATAGCCTTGTGAGATGACGTGCATGAGTGTGATACGTGTGTATGTGAGTGTGTGTTAAAGTAAAATAAACTTTATACTGTATGTCAACAATCTACACGGATATTTACACCTGGTGCTCACAACGACGTATCTATTCAGCGCTGTATTAACAGTAGTGTTAAGCTGTTGGCCTTGTTAAGTTTGCCGCGAACGTATTGTATAGCATCTCTTAAAACGCTTTCAACTTCAAATTTATTCTCCTATGAAATGGCGTGCACATGCAGACCACAGCGTTGTGACTATATTGTGTCGAATTTCCGAAATCGGCAATAGGTAACAATGTCAAGTTCGCATAATATGAAACCTAATCTATACTTAAACGCAATGATATTGTATATTATTACCTACCTACCTACCTACGACATAAATATGACAAACCTTCAAAAAACAATTGTACGTTTTCACGAGCTGTGGTGACTGGTGGTCACACACTATTCACACGACTTTTTTTATTTTGCATGTGATATGACGTATTATAACTTAATATAAGTGTCTAAATGTATATATTATGTTGCGGGGACATAATTGTACATTAAAAACTAAATTGCGTTGTCATGGCAAGATGAAACTTTTATGTCACAATTTTCTCAGTTGGAAAAAAAATACCTACAAACCATCTATCACGTTATTTATACAAATAATGTCCTCGGTTTATTATTTTACACACACACGAGAGTATAGTCTTATAAATCGTAAAGTGTTGATGCAAGTATGTAGTAGCTAGTAGCGATATTCCACTATAGTCGACATCATTGAGATTTGTTCATTTTCGATCGTTTTTTAATTATTTTATCCTTACGACCATTACCCATCACCCACCGGGTTGATTTCACATTTTTCTACATTCAAGTAGGTACCTACCAATAACATAAAATTTTATGCAACATATATATCATAATAATTTATAACTTTTAGTTATCAATATTATAACTAGGTAGTTATAAATATAATATGTTTAAAAGACCTCCACAGTTTACTCCTTCATCAATTGAAAAAACAGTTTTAGCTTTTTAAACGAGTTAGGAACAGTCATATAAACTCAACTATAATTTAGTCCCAATCTGAATTATAGATAATAGACCTCTATATTAGCTTATAGTAAATTTTATGATCGATCGCCCTAGTAATAAATGGAAACGTTTATGTAAATTTTATCATAGGTAATACTTTATATTTTAATTTATAAAATATTGTGCGTAGTATCGTTTTAATTTTTTAAAAATTATTTGCAAAAACGACATACCAATTACATTTTTTTTTTAGGAATCCGATATACTTTTTTTTTATGTTTATCTTGGCAACACTGTTTTTAATTTCTTCGACATCCCAGTGCAAAAATATACGATAAGACCATCGCATGTGATATCGAACACAACGGCCTCGGCTAACATCTTTGATCATATATGATCTAAGGCTAACATTTATGATTTAACCGCCATAAATACGAATAATATTTGATAACTGTTGACGACTTGCCGTATTATCTGACGGGTTTAATAGATTTATTCTGTATTATTCTGTATTCGTCGTGATCAATGATTATTAATGCCAAAAATTTATTATAATTTATATATATGTATTAATTTTAAGCCAGAAATTTACTATGATGTTTTGATATTTTAATCTTTTATTTTGAGAAATAAATTTAAGGATCTATTACTTAATGTACATTTTTATGACTTCATTGTGAAATGAAATCAAAAAATCAAACAATGAATTCCGTAAGTAATAAAAGAGTACCTTTAAAGAATTTTTTTATTTAATTGGAAAATTTTTAATTTTTTAATTAATACATTTAAATTATATTAATTTGTTATTTTTTAGAAGAAAATACAAAAACAATTAGATCTTGAAGAAGTATTTTGTATAGCATGCAGGTGCATTTATTTAAAACCCGTGACAATGCCATGTGGCCATACACTCTGTCTAGAATGTTTCAAAAGTATGGTGAATTTAACAGCATATCAGTGTCCAATGTGTCGCAGGCGTATCAGTAATTGGCTTCGTAAATTTAAACATGATTGGGATGCCATGCTTAATGTGAATCTTTGGGAAGCTATTCAACAGCAATACCCAGTAGAAGTACAGAAGAGATTAAATGATGAAGATGATGGTCTTGAAGAACGTAATTATTTATAATTTTTATTTAATATACACCTAGTTAATGCTTAATAAGGCTATAATATTCAACTTTCATGTTCTTTTCTGTACAAGAAAAATATTACTATGATATATCCTCACATATTATTATGCATTATACTATTAATAACTCATTCGACCAACCTCTAGCTAGTTAGGGAGCTAAAATATTATAAGGGGGTTATTATATCGATTTAACTCACAGACATCAATTGAAAATCAAGTCAGTTCCGCGGCAGAGGGGACTGTATTAGTATTATGTTCTTCATAACTCAAAAATATAGATTATGTACCAATAAAATTAAGTAAATTACATATAAAATTCTCTGATTACTTTGTAATCTAAACATTAATAAATAAAAAAATATAAAAATAACAGCTTAGATACAGATTGGTTTAAATTTTTTTTGTTTCCCATAAACTTTGAAGTACAGAATGACTCATCTGTAAACAAGTTAGATTAGGTATTTAAGATAGACTAAAATAAATGACAGCATTGTATACATTTATTTTGTTTAGGTATAGTCAATCATGGCTTCAGTCGGGTTGAACTTAAAGAAGGAGAAATAAAAAAAGAATTTGATGATATGCAAATGAATATTTATAAAGAACAAAAAGAAAAAGAATTGCACAGTTTGGAGCTTGCTAAAAAATTACAAGTAAATTAAATAGATAATTTATTATTTTTAATACTTATCATGTCTTAAACGCATTTTTACTCCAATTATAAGGAAGAAGAAAATATTAGAAATCAAGCTCAATTATCTTTGAATGAAAAATTAACACAAGAAGATTCTATACTTGCAACAACAATTCAAGAAAATGTGAGAATATGATTTTTTTAGTATAATCTCTGTCATGCTTTAACAAATTAATATTTTTGATAGATAATGAAAGAACTTCATCAAGAAGAAATAATTTTAATCCAATCAGATTTGGATTTGGCTACAAAATTACATGATCAGGTGACTATTTAGATATATCATATGTTCACCAATTTAGGAATATTAAGTTTCTCACCTAAGATTACATTGGAATAAGTTGAATTTATTTCAAGTTGGTGGTATATAAATACATATTTATAGATATACTTCAAAATGTTTATCATATCAGTATGCACATGAGCAATAAAACATGTTTTTTTTTAGAAATAGTGTATCTTCTCTTCTTCACCGAGTAGTGGCGGACCTTACGTTTGCTACACAGATGGAATTATGTTTTTGTTAACGAGGTCTCGGGGACTCACCCTCGGTGTGTAATATTAATATATTAGAGATCGGGGTTACCTTATTTAAATAAAGCACAGTGTTATAAATGTAACGTATATTAGGTTTAACAGATAATTTGTAATTAATATATATAGAATATGGGTTACTGATCTGGGTAGATTTTGACAAGCCATAAGTGTAGATTGAGGGTGGCTGTACGGATTGTTGAGGAGTCTTCTTTACCGTCTGTCTCTACTCCGTGTCACATACTCCTCTCTATACATATTGGTAATAGTTATATATCTTAAACTGCTGCCTAAAAGCCTTAGGTCAGCAGTCGGCCCTGCTTGTCATTTCTCACACTCAGCATTTTAACAATGTGTACTCTACCTAAAGAATAATGTATGATGTCGACAGATGGCAGTCGTTACAATAGTGTCACCATATTCAGATAAGCCTAATTTTTTAAGAAATTTTGATGTATCAACTATGGTTCTAAATTAAAAGTTGACTGAATAAAAGTCATTTATAATAATTATTGATTGCTTTTTGAATATTTTTTATGGGAAAATTTTAAAACAATAGTTTACAAAGATCTACCAGTTACTTTTTTAAATTTAAAAATAAAATCCTGGCTGCGTATAATAACCTTACTAAAAATGAAATTATGTCAGCAACCAATAGAGGATGTCTATGTTTTCAATCATGCTTCAAAATAACAGAGCAAACTTTGAAAAATGTATTTAATTAATTGTATAATTATAAAATAATTGTTATAATCGAAATTTAATGAATACATTTATGCTTATATTATGTTGATCTTGTTTGTCACATGTATATATATAAAAAAAAAAAAAAAATAGGTAAAAGTATTCAAAAAGTTACAAATGGTTTTTATGCACTTTAAATTAACTTAAAAAACATATTATTTCTTAAAATTGAAATGGCTTTTATATGTATCTATAAATGTGTATTTATGTCACCAACTTAGTGTTCCCTAAATTGGTGAACACACAGTACACATAAAAAAAAATTATATAAAACAAATTTTTTTGTGTTTAAGATAATGACTGAAACAAAAATTGGTACAAATCATTCAGCTTCTAAAGTAAGTTTAATGTATAATATAAATATGAATTGATTTTATTTTATAAACTTTTTTCTAGAAAAATCAAATTAAAAAAGGACCTTTGGATAAAATATTTTGTAAGTTGTTAAATGGTTGTACATTCTTAGTTCACTATATAATATATTTTATAAATGTTTAGTGAAAAAGACTGAAAATGATTCTAAAGTGCAATGGAATAATAAACAAGACTGTAGTAGTTTATCTAGCACTATATCTTCATCCAGTACAACAAGCTCGATTCAATCTCTCAATGCATCATTATCAAGTAAGATTATTTAAAAAAAGTAAAATTAAAGTTTGATTGAAACTTTTTTCAGGTTTTCCTTCAGATCCATCTACAAGCTCTTCAACTACTGATGCATCTGAAATATTTGAAGATGATAATTTGGATATTTGTACTTGTGGACGTTTACAGGATAATTTGACAACCGATATTAGTCCTTGTGCATTTTGCATAGCTCAAATAGCATTGTTGAACAAATTGTGGACTCAACAACAAAATGATTTTTTAATGGCTAAAGATTTAGAGAAAAAATTACTTATGAGTAATTTTGAAGATTATAATTTAAGGAAAAGATCAAATTCAGCCCTTAGTCTTGGGCACAAGAAAAAAAGAAAACTGTCTAAAGGACAGCTAACATTGAAACAAGCATTAAAAAACAACGGTAACACAACATTTTGTAAATAGTATGAACTCTTTTTGAAGAAATATATTAACTATTAGGTATATAATTAAGAAATAATAATTAAAGACATTGAAGATTTACTTATCAATAGTTTTGTAATAAACAAAAATTTTGTCAAAATTTTGTTTTTTTTTTTTTTTTTACTCTTACCAAATTTAAATAAAACATAACACTTGATAAATTTTAATTTAAATGAAAATCTATGTAGCATACAATCATAATTTTTAATAATAAAAACAATATTCTATTTATATTTTCGATAAAAAAAAAAAACCTTATTTATGATAAATTTATACATTCATGCATTATTTACATACAAAGACTTATCGTTCTTCCAAAGTTAATGTTTCTTGTGGATACAAATTTAGTTCTTTCATAGTTTGAGTTACACCTAGTGTTGTCAACTGTAAAAACCATAAAATTAATCATATATTTAATAAAAAAAAAAATTAATTAATTTTACTTACATCTCTTCTAGGCCAACTAGAAATTACTTTAAACTCTTCTTGACTAAAGCCATTTATATATAAATAGTCAAATAACACCTAAAATATTAATTATTTTATTTTATATTTTTCAATAGTTTAACAAGGTCTTTTCTGGTTTAAAAAGGTTTGTTAGTTTGGGGTCAATTAAAAATAAACGCATACTTAAAAGACAAATCCATAATCGTAACACACACAATTTTAACCATCAGGACCATGTATTAAAACATTTCGCTATTAATCCTAATAATATACTCATTTAACTTGCTTTAAAGTAAATTTTTTTTTGTTAATATTAAATCTTTATCTAAATGCGCACATTATAAGGTCAAAAAAAAGATCTTAATTAAGTAATAAAAATAATTTAAATTAAAGATGTTACACCGGTTGCCAGAGTTGGCAGACGAGGGGAGTCACTAAAATAAATACTTATATTACTCATATTTTATAATGAAAAAATAAAACATCAATATTCTTAATTGGCGCAGTCAACTGAGAAGAGTGGAAGCGAGAATTCGTAAATAACCGCCAAGTTGGTAACTTACAAAGGCCATGACTTAAAAACTAAGTCTGAACGACAAATTCTGATTGTACCATTGTTCTTAAATAGTTTACATAAAATTTAAAAAAAATCGAAAAATTTGTGTGTAGTAATAATAACATCAATTCAATATGTCTCGCTTTTAGTTGTAATAACCGGTAAGTACCACAAAAAGTTAATTTGCATTAATTAAAAATATTTAGTTATGAATGTTATGATATTAAATTTTAAATTGTTTTAGTTTATCAATATTTTGATTTTATAATCTAGATCAGGAGTCGGCAACTTGTGGCTATTTTATGCGGCCCACGATTATATATATTGGTCCTTGACAACAAAAAGGTTGCCGACTCTTGACTAGATAGTCAAAATAAACATATAAATACATAATTTACATTTGTCAATAATAAAATAAAAGGAAATGAAAAAATATTATGTATGAACAACATAATGAATAGTTTACTTGTAAATTATCCGATGCCAGAAACCGTCGTTCTAAAAACTTTCCAAGTGGAAGTCTGAATCTGATTTTTGCAACTTGATCACCAGGTTCTGGTTCTGCCGGAAGAGATGCAATAATACGTTGGCGAATAGCCTAGACAAAAAAAAAAAAAAAAATGATATTTATAAATTTTAAAATACAGATATACCTCTTTTTCTGCAGCAATTTGTCTTTCTTGACTTTCAATTTGAGATCGAATTGCCTTTTCTTCCATTTCTTGTACTCTTTTTGTTTCTTCTTTAGCTCTAAAATTATAAATTATATTGATTTATTTGTTAAAGTTATATAAATAGTATTTTAAAATTTGTAAAGCAGAACCAAAAATCTATATATCATAAACTAAATTTATGTTTAAAAACAATAAATATTTCTACTATCAATTACAGTTCCATGATAATAACAATAAAAATAAAATTTAAGAGAACACTGTACTCATAGGTGTTGTTTCAGTCTTACAAATGTGTGACAGAAATTTGTGTTCAGTAGAATCCATTTTATGCTGTTAGTGTTTAAATTTATGTTAACTTATCTTTTATTAAACTTAAAGTCAGGAATATTATCTAGAGCATTCCATATATTTTTACTTTAAGAAATATTATAGCTGTATAGAATGTTACAATTTTAAAATTTTCATAACTTGCTGTATTAAATGTATAATAGGTGAAGTGACAAATATTAAAGTTAATAGTACAAAATGGATTTTTGCTGAATACAAGTTTGTTATGTTGTATGTATGTAATATGAAGACAATATATACAGATACAATGTCTTCTTAAAAAGATATTACACCCACATTTAATATTGCCATCTTTTAAAAGTGTAACAGCAAATTTATACTCAGTAATTCACATTTAGCTTTGTTAGATTAAAAATTGGAATGAATTGACTTGTTGTGAAACTTCATAGTAAGAACATTATCTGTGTATGTTAATTTTTAATGATAGTTCAATTTCTTATAGAATTTAGACATATAAAACAGTGAATTTAAAAAAAATCTATACTTAATAAAAATTGAACTATTATAAATAATTAACATATGAAAATAGATATGTTTTTACCATCAAGTTTCAAAATAGGTCATTTTATTATAATTTTTAAAAAATTAACAAAATTAATCATGAACTTCTAAATGTAAATTTATTATTACGGATTTAAAAGACAAACAATAATATTGCAGGTGTAGGGTTCTCTCATAAGCTGTTGAAATATACCGATCAATAGCCAATGATTGTTGATAAGCTTCATCTTGTTCTACTTTAATCATTTCTCGCATATTACGTTCCCCTTCTTCTTTAATTTCCACTTGCTGTTGTATAGCAAACATTTCTTGAGCATTTATAAGGCTTGATAGTAATTCACTTATATTGCAATCTCCTATAAAATTGTTAATAGACATTTTAGAAATTAAAATTAAAAATTACTGAATAGACTTTGATGAAGTATTACCATTTATAACTGACAATATTTCTGTGTTTGACCGATTACGTGTAAATAACACTAAAGCTGGAAGCCTGTTAATGTCAATAGCTCTCAAAGTTATTTCAGCCATTGTACCCAGTGAAAGAGAGGCTGATTGCAATATTCTAAAAAAAAAAAAAGTTTAAAAAATTGTATTTATATTATTATTTTAAATTAGTTACTAGTTACCTATTTCTGTTAGATGGGTGTGTCATATCCCAACCCCATACTAAAAAATTTGTATTGAGATACTGCACAACTGATTCAAAACATAATAGTTGAGTGCAAAATACATTTGACAATACGCTGCGATCATGGTGCAAGTACACAGCTAATAAACGTTTCTAAAATAAAAACATTTAAAATATTATATATATTAGTTAATATTTAAAAAAAAAATGAAATTATTTTATGCAGTAAAATATTTGTTAATAATTAATTAAGTACTAAATTTAAAATCTTTATATCATATTAAAAATAATGATACTTACATCTTTAGCAGGTTTAAAACATGCTATTTTAATAGCTTGATCAAGCGTTCCCAAAAAAAACTGAGGTCTCATATCACCATAACGGTTTTGAAATTCATCAATGAATTGAATGACACCAGCAAGTTCATCTTCAGTATCCTCAGCAACTAAATAATTTATAATCCAATTAATTATTGATGATAAAATATTAAAATATATTAAATGGCAAGAAAGTTTGCGATATTATGAATTTCCCCTTTTAATCAAACTTACTTAATGGACGGATCCGAGTAGATGCCTCGGTGTCCATGAACATAGTATCTACATCATCATCATCAATACCACTTAATGACTCTGCTGCATCCTCAAATGGATCTTCTTCAGAAGAAGATGATGATGTGGATGAAGAAGAAGTAGATGATGAAGGCATTGGAGAATCGCTTGTTTCCATATCAACAGACTGCTTCAATAAAAAAAAAAAATATTATTCATTTAAAATCATTAATCAAACTACTACAGTAGTCATCAAATAACTTGATAAAGTGGTGCTGTTATGCCTAACATTAAAAAAATAGTAAGATTATCAAATAGTTTGCTAAGTAATTTTTAAACAACTATCATAGCATGTTTTTAGATATTAATAAACATACAGTTTTTAGGATACCAAAAATCAATCAACTCACAAATTTTCATCAGACAATTTAAGCAAGTTAAAAGTATTTAAATAAACAAATTATTTATTATATTTTATAAGGATACGTCTAGAATAAAAAGGTGATGACATTATTATAGTGAGGCAATGATGCAAGCAATTTATTTAATGTGTTTAACCAAGTCAGTAATCATTGATTGATTATACATTTGTTAGGATGTTTTTAATCGTTTTTTTTTTTTTTTTAGAGAATATATGAAATTTATTTATTCTGTTTATTGATATAATAAATTACAAATACATTAAAATGTTAATTAAAATTTTAAGAAAAATAAAATTAACATTAAAAAATTAATGGCAAAGTAATAAACTGTTGATAAGTTTTGGCACAGGGCAATCGTAAACTAGTACCATAGAGTCTATAGTTTATAATATAAAAAAATACTTACATTTAATCTAGTGTTGTATCTTCTTCTGGTATGTTTAAGTATTGAGTTTGATGGCTTCAATTTTAAATCATGTACTGGGAAATTAATATGAGATTCTTCCAAAGTAGTAGCAGGAGTAACAAAATGTGGCCAACCTAACCATTGTTGATTACTAACAGGCAATTTAGTCAATTTAGCAACAACTTCTTTCACATATGCAATGGTTTGATCAGACGAAAATGACAATTTATAAACTTGATATTCACTTGAAGTTGTAGCCTCCATTGTTATGTTTAGAGTGAACATTCGCAAATTAGCTCTTTTAAAAAGTAAAATAAGAATTATGACATTAAGTATATAATATAATAAAAATATTTAATAAATATTATACCTTCCATTCAACTCTTGATTTAAATCTCCATCATTAGAGTTAAGATTCAGCTTAAATCTATCTGGAAGGTTAAGTTTGGAGAGTGTATCTTTATTGGAAGGATGTTGATTATTTGGCCACCCATTAAAGTTTTGTAGACAACATGGTATTTCAGTTTCAGCATAGATCAATGTTTTTAAATCATCTAAAATAAAAGTAATACTATTAAGTAGGTTACATGTTTAATATGTAATATTTTAAACATGATATAATTTCATTTAAAAAATTCAAAGTTGTACAAATTAAAGAAGTTGATTAATTCAAGTATAGAGTAAAATTAAAAATACAAGGAGTAAAGTATTGTAATTTGTTAAAGCAAAGAACTAATAATAGTATTAAAACTGTTAACTTTTTACCTATAATTTTAATAAATGGAAGTTACTAAATTTAAACATAGAATGAAAATAACTTTAAAATTATAATAAAATTAAAAACAAATTTAGCAACAATTATACAAGTTACAAGATTTTTCAAATTTTAATACAAAGTATTAAATATGTTTATTTAAAAATGAAAATAAATAAGTAGGAAATTACCAATTGTTGAACTATCGTTGAGTGTTACTGTGACAATCACATGGCCATTTTGTTCAATTTCAATGGTAATTAAACGATGAGTTTGGTTTGATGTTGATGCAATCATACCCCTGAAATCATCTGCAACCATTACAGTTGGTTCGCTTAGTTGAGTACTGCGCCCTTCAGACGGCAAGTGTTGAGTATGTTTAGGTGTGACATGTTGAACGGCGGCCTAAAAAATTCAAAAATGACTTAGTAAAGCTAATACAAATACTATGTTTTGATAGAAGGCTTGTGTAATTACCAGCAGGTCCCAATCAAAATTCGATAAGTGCATCAACGCTTCACCTGCATTGTCAATACCAGTAATGGCCTATAATACAACAAAACAACGTTAGAAGGAGGTCGATGGAGTCCATTGTTCTTATGGACCAGAAAATATTATTATTATTACTTGAAAATCGGCTATAATGCCGTTTTTGTCATCCATGTTGCTAGACATTAGAAGTGGCGTCGATAAAACGAAAAAACCACCAGACGGATCAGTTGGACATGGCGAATATTACTGTGGCTAGTACTTACTGCTAATGACGAGCACCGTATTGCAAATGAGTCTACTCACACAAACAAAATTGGAACGTTAATATCACTTGTGCGACAAACGAACGAAGCAATACGTGACAGTGAGTCGCGCTGCGAGTTGTAGTTTCTAATTTCTATTATACGACGATATTAGTATTAGTTTTAAATTATCACACTTCCAACTCTCAGCGGACGCAGTCGCAGTATCGGTATACAGTAGAGACTACAGCTATATTAGTTGTGGGGCTACGGCGCACACACGACACACAACGGGAACGTCGGGAACAACGGCGTAGGTCAGCTGTTTAACGGTGACGGTGCGGGACCTCCGCCGAAAGCAAAAACCATGACTTGTCACTATGTGGTTATATTATATATATATATAAAGATTATTATAAGTGATTGTACTTTGTGTACTTTTTTGATGTGGTGGGTGGATGGCGGATGCGGGCGGGCGTTCGTCTGTGGTATTGTTATATTTTGTTATTCTGTTGCTATATATAAGTTATAGTTTATGGTAGGTATAAAATGTATAATATTATGTTATTGTCCGATAGTCGTAGTCTCGTAGTTCGTACACTCGTCGCTAGTTGGTTAAAAAAAAAACCTGACAGGCGACAACAGCTGCTGCTGGTGCCTGGTACCATCTGTTATTATAGTCTATAGACTATAGACACTATAGTAGTATAGTACCATATAGTATTATAGTACGTATTTCGGATTTCCCATTCCGTATTTCCGTGTTGGTGAGTGCCGATTGCCGAATAGTATAATGTATTATACCTTAATACTTTATGCAACTTAGTAGTTACTAGTTAATACTTACTGAAATACTGATATTCCTTATTTCCCTGTTAGTGTAGACCGCCGAGCGCAGGCTGTCGGAGTAGAATGAGTAGGTGGTTGTGGATTTGTAATGGTACGACTCAAAAATCGGAAGACTCGTTGAAACAATTAAACTTCCGTTATCAAAATATTAACTAGCACGGTATTTTTTTTGTGGGGTACTGAGTAGCACACCTTAGATTATTGAAAATAATGGTAAATAATGACAAATGATTAATAACAAATGAAATCAACGGTGCTTGGATGATATACGGAATACTAGATAATAGTATAATACAAAATATTTTTTTATTTGACGTGAACGTGTGGCTAAAAGTTAAAAATTATATTTGTTCGGTGCAAAATGTTAATTATGCAAGCGAGCTTACACTTTTAAGTTTTATTTCCGCAAATCCGATAATCGCTTTCTATCGTGTATACTTGGTCTAACAATTCTAACATAAACAATCGTAAGAACGTTTAATTAATGTCATCTTCATTTGTGCTAACTACAAATACAATCGTGTCAGAATTCGCACAAGTAATTTTGTACAAATCATTAAATCAATTATTAATGGTTGTCTATACCAACGAGTACCGTTATTATTTAATTTTCTCTATGACTATGCGGTACAGATACACTATACTGATACTTGTAAATACTAAACTCACTTCATGCTATAACTTATAAACCATAACGCTTATAGGACATCGACAATCGATATATGTATTATTTAGTATTTACTATTTAGTATTTACTATCTAAGCTTTTGAATCGTAGCCAAAACTCAAAAACTTATAAATTATAATAGATACCAGAACCAGAGTCTAGAAATCAGTAAACACCATAACCATAAGTAGTGTTATCTATATTATGTTCTATATAATAATTATCATTCTTTATTATTATTTTAATGATTTCGCGCCAATTTGAATGCCACAGCCACACATAGAACAATATTAAATATTTTTTTTGTAGTACATCGATGCCCTCAGCGGCTCAGCATTCTAGTCGTTCAGTTTCAATTTTAAGCTACAAGTATTCAACTTGCATCTTATTAGTTATTAATTTTAATTTACTATAGTTACTAGTTAGTTGTTATAATTCGTCTGTATTCGCCTAAATTGAGTAGCAGAGATCAATGTTTAATTAACGTCGGTCAAATTTATTTTATCTTAACTCGTATCGATTTCTACACGGTATTCCTATTGCTATTTCACCGACGTTTGTCATTTCGTTTTATGTGAATTCTGACAACCTTTGCAAAGATATCTCTCCACTGTCTCGTCGTTGATTAATTTTGGTAATATTATTATGCCATCAATTATTAATTTATTATTTACATGATATTATTTTGTTTTCACTATTGATTAACTTCTTTTCTAATACAATGCACGGTAATGTTAACATGAAGTACTTGAAAAAACACTTAACTCACATGCGTTTTTTTCATTAAGCAAACTTATAGTATACTAAATTGGTACCTATAGCAGAATCAGGTTTAAGTTGTTAGATTAAATATCATGGTGAATTATTAAATGTAAAGGTAAAAATATTATCTAAGCAAGAGCATCTCATACGCTTTTACTAATATTTAAATTTTAAAATTAAAATATCTATAAAATCATATGAGATGCCTTATTATCTAGTCCAATATCATTACCTTTAAAGTTAATAACTGGTAATTTACTCTAACATTTTAGATAATAAATGCTATTGAGTGTAGATTTGCAATATTTTAAGTATATGATATTGAGAAATTACATGTAGGTTTTTCTTAAGAGAGTGTCACACCCGCATAATGTTTTCATTTTGCAAGTCTACAACATAGAAAATCTACTTTCAGCATTTCTTGTTTTGTTAGTTTTAATGACGAATTGTATAATATATACAGGTATTTTATTGACATTTATATTTTTATTAGTCATAAATATTTTAAATTGTAATATTTTATCAACTACTTGCATACTATTTCATTCCATTTTTTATTTTTATTTTCGCCATCAATTACATGTGTAACGGATCTACTAAGTGTTAAGTGTCTTACATCAGTTCTGATCTCTTTTTTCTAATATCTATTGTTGAAACTTAATAGTTTCAAGTTTATTTTGTTTGTATTGTTTTTTAAAATCTAATTTGTTCATATTTATTCATGTAAATAAAGGCATATATATTTATTAAATAAATAAATATAATTTTAAACAGCAGAAAGTATGGTCATTTTTAAAATTTTATAAGAGTTTAGTTTATTCTAATATTAAAACTTATGAAACTAAACTTTAACAGTTTAACATAAATTAGCCATGTTACACATTTGTAAGATAGAGACAATAAAAGCAATTATTAGATATCTTAACCATTTAAGTTTATTGTAGAAATTTATTTAGCATAACTAATATTTCAATTTTCATATGATTTTGATATATGTTTCAACTTTCAATATATGTAAGTAATAACACCAATAATGTTGGATAAAATTAATTATTAAGAGGACATTGCACTCTCATGTGTTGTTTTTGTCTTACAAACATACGAGATAGTAAATTTTTGTTCACCAGTTTCAATAGTGTGCTTTTATTTTTAATATTAGAGTGAATAATTGACCTATTATCAAACTTTTAATTAAAAACATTATCTGTGTTCTCTTGTTGATTTTTTTACGATATTTTAATTTTTAAATGAGTTATGAACATTTTCAAATATTTATATTTTTCAAACTCTTAAATCATAAGTCATAACTTACTTAAAAAATAAAATATCATAAAAAACCAACAAGAGAACATGGATAATGTTTTTAACTAACATTTTGATAATAGGTCAATTCACTCTAATATCAAAGCTAAAAGTACACTTGAAAAACAAAATTTACTATGTAGTATGTGTGTAAGACGGAGATAACACATGCAGGTGTGACGTCCTCTTAGGTAAAATTATTATCAACATTTGACAAAATTAATAATTTCTTTACTTGATTGAATATGTGTTTTTAAACATTTTTTTTAAATTAATGATTTCTTATGGTAAAACATTGTATCCTAAGGCTTATATATTTCCCAAACACTTGGATCAAAAGTAAAATATATTTTAAAAATACCTAAATTTAGTTTTATTATTCAAAAATCTTGTTCATTTTAAAATATTAAGTTTTAATAAAAAATAGTTTTTTTAATATCTGTAAATAATGTGAATTTTGAGTAGATTATTTTATTTTTATTAGAATTTTTATTGAGTAAGGTGGTAGCTTAATAATAAAAGATAATGCTTGTATTTTGATAATTATCACATGGTAATTAATAATTCAATTCATAGTAAATAAATAAATAAATAAATAATCATATACCTTTCATGTAAAATATATGTTATTTAATCTTATTTATTTTATGTTAACATGTTAATAAAAATATATTTATGTAACTATAGGTTTGTTTAATTTTTCTAGGCAATTTAACAAAATGACAAAGTCTGCTGTGCGAGGTGCATTAATTGTTTTGGAAGGCTGTGATAGATCAGGAAAAACAACTCAATGTACAAAATTAGTTGAAGCTTTAAATAGTATGAAAATACCAGCAAAAAAAATATCATTCCCAGATCGATCTACTCCTATTGGTTCATTAATCAATGATTATTTATCAAGGAAAATAGAGTTACCAGATCGATCAGTACATTTATTATTCACTGCTAATCGTTGGGAACTAGAACCAGAAATTCGTAAACAAATCGAATCTGGTGTAACATTAATTGTGGATCGATACTCGTATTCTGGTGTAGTTTTTACAAGTGCCAAACAATGTGTAGATTTTAATTGGTGTTGTGGTCCAGAAAATGGTTTACCTAAACCAGATTTAGTACTGTTTTTAAAATTGTCAACCGGAGAAATGGTTAAACGGTCTGGTTTTGGTGATGAAAGATATGAAAATATTGAATTTCAGCATAAAGTGGATAAAAATTATGATAAATTTTCAAACGATAATTTTATTCAAGTAAATGCAGCTCAAGACATATCAAGCTTAACAGACACTCTTTTAAAACAAGTTGTAAAAACTATAGACACTGTTAAGAACCAAAAATTAGACAATTTGGTTTTGCAATAAGATAATGTTATTAATGGTAGCGATATTTTTTCAAATTAATTTGTCTATATTATGTATTTGATACTTCATTAAATGCTATTAAGTTAATTTTATTAATTAAATTAACGTATTACCTACTTGATTATAATTGTAATATAATTAATATTCATAAGTTATTCTTTAAATAATTAATTTTTGGGTAAATTAATATTAAGTAAATGTTCCACACGCTAATAATAATAATAATGATAATAAGAACCTAAGTGTTAAATGTTTATTTAATTGTTGACATACTTACCCAATATAATTTTGTAGAGCACTAAGCAATTAAGGGTTATCATTTAGCAACTATCAAAGTCTATAGCCATTCAAACTCCAACAAAATTAAAATTATTTATTATTTGATTATATATTATTTATAGTTTAGTAATATATTATATCAATAGCATTAATAATGAACCAACTATATTCAAGAACACCTGGTTTTTTTTTTTTTAGTTTATCCTAGAGACATTTGGTATACATAATATATATAGCTCTTTAAATTTCTGTTTATATCAACTGTTGTAATTATTTCTTTTAAATATTTTAAAGGCACACGCTATCTTCACGTGTCATTTAATGTGCTATTTGTTCCTTGTAATTCAAAAAATATTAATTAAAGAAATTTTCATTTTTAACCAAATATTATTATTAGCAATTTATAGACTTCATATGATTTTGAAAATATTTTAGTTCTTTTATGCTATTTTTATTTATAAACATTTAATATTTTTTAGTTTTTTTTTTATTTAGGCATAATATTAATTTTTATTTTTTGGTAAAAAAAGTATAAAACGAATAAAAAATTTTCCCCATAAATCGTTATAATAAAAAATCAAGAAATTTCAAAAATATAATTTTGGACAAAATAGGATATTTAAATTTTAAACAGAAGTCATTGGTTTTAATTATTTTGTTGTAATTCCAAAATTATTATTCGTTGAGAATTGAAGTGATTTATTACGACATAAATGTTGTGTTGTTATTCACCATACACGATACGAATTTAAGTTATCAAAATATTTAGATAAATTTTAAGAAGCTAGAAATATAATTATTATTATTTATTAATATGCTATATTACAATAAATATATTTTTTTTTTTTTTGGAAAATTATAATAATATATAAGTTAAACATGCTGTATTATTATTTGCCATGAATAATATTATATTAAATATTCTAAGGTATTGTAATTATTGTATTTTACTATTGTGTATATTATATTTATTTGTTTCACGTTTATAATACCGCTGAACGATAAGAAAAAAAAATAACATCGGGTACTTTACTCGAAATCATGGAAGAAGAAAAAACATGCATCAACCATTTGCACTAACCTCCAAACACCAAATCTCCCAATAATTAAAATTGAATTTATGCATTTTACGAAAATCATTCAATTTAATATTTAAAAAATTATTGCACAATGAAAATTGTATTAAAAAATCAACATTTTGGAAATTTTAGAAATTGATCTCACTTCAGAACACCACTGCGATCAAATCGACTTCAGTCATGAATGTTCGTAACACCGTAGGATGATCGACAAAACGTGAATGAAAATGGAAAATTTCTAAATTTTGAAAACTCACTGAATATTACAAGGACATGCCAGATATAGGCAAAGTTACCAATAATATATTATAAATAAAATAAAGTGATTGTTGTGAACTGTAAAAATGGAATATAATTATGTAAATAATATCGATATAAAAATCACAGCATTGCTTAGGATATAAATAATTAATCGATGTCTAATTGAAAAATACAACAATAGAATAAATTATTGAACAATATTTAGATTAAATAATACAATTTAACTTAAGCCTTTGTCGAGTTTTTTGCGCGGAAATAGTAAGAATTTGGGCTATAAACTATAAACGTTAATCTGTTCATCGAAAATATCTATTAAATATACGAAATTCTTAAAATTAAATGTATATGCATACTTTAGTGAGTTATATGATATAGTAACATAAATATTAATAATACTAAAAATAAAATAAAATGTATGTATGCTTCTGAAAGTAATATAATGGTCACATAAATATTAATATGGTAAAAAAAATACATAATGATGATTTAATAATTAATTTTAAATAAATGCTCTTGGTTATATTATCTTCATTATTTTTTTCAAGTCCCGGAATTTTGTTTTGGCCAAATATTCTTTAAACGGATTTTCAATCATTAAAGATGGTAATATATCTTTAAATTGTTTAATTTTCCTTACGGCTTATGGCATTGACAAGAAAAAAAACAAATATATAAATATAATTCGAAAGGACAGGCATAATTATTATGACAACGAAAATTATTAGTTAATAGTTATCAATCATATGTTATTCGTCATTAATAATGAAGTAAAAGTAAAATAAATATTTTATTAGACAACATTTTTATAAGCTAATCAAATAGTATTATAAATGTATTATAGATATAGATAGCGATAGATATTTGTACTTCTTATCAGTTTTTGAAATATAATTTTTATCACCAATTTAAAATTTTAATCTTGTAAATTTAATTCTAAAATGACTACTCCAAGATCAAAGTCGCCTAAACCTCAAAATTCCTTTAGAAAAGATGACAGCAAAGACGAGACGACATTTTGGGACAAAATTGGGACGTTAGGACGTAAAAAGCGAATAAAGGAAGGTAAGTACTTTAACGTTACCTTATATGGTCATCATCAGTGTTCAAGTGTTATAGTAGCACTAATAAATTATAAAATAGTTTTCCTTTAAATATACCTCGAATAAATTTAATATGTACATTATAAAACAAGAACGGTCTGTAAAATCGATCCTGAAAAGCTTGCATAGTTTCATGAAATATAAAATATAATACTACATTAAAATAATTAATTTCTAGTTTTTGGGAGTGGCTTTAATTTTTATTTTAGAACATGGTATTTAACTTTAATATTTTGAGAAAAATAATTAATTTACAATTGAATTGAAAACTTATACATTCGTATTAAATATTTCATAGGTACAATACTATTTTTAGTTTTCATCGGCCCTAATGATCTCTGTTGTAATGTTATGCTTTTATAGTTCAAAATTATTGAAGGATACAATACAATAAATGCAATATCCACTTTTAGAAAGGCATATTATCAAAATATTTTTATTTATAGACAATATATCACTTGATGGGTGGTAAGTGACATACCACACAGTAAATAAGGAGCAATCGATTAGGAATCTGTACTTCATAGTGTATACAATTTATATAACTTGGAGCAGCCATTTATATTTATAGAAAATAGGAATTTAGTCTAACATTTGTATATATGTACACATTATATACACCACAGAAGTACATAATTTTAATTCATATTAATTAATAGTTATTAAAATAACAAATTATACTAGAAGTTTTGAACTCTGGTCATTAATTAATTGTTGCATTATTAGTGGAATAATATTTATTTGAAATTATAATTAAATTTGTATGAATTAATAGACATTTATAATTGACATTATTATAGTGCAAGAAGTTCAGGAAGAGGGTAAATATGCTATTGACTCACCAGGCAATCCAGCTATGGCTGATGTTCCTCCTGAAGAATATACTCTTGGTACTTAAATTTTTTTATACCTACTAGTTTTACAGATGTCTTAAAAAAAGAATGGCTTAATAATTTGTGTTATTTAATACTTTAGAGGAAAATGAAGAACGGACTATGGTGGAACCAAAATCCTATTCTGATCCTAAATTACAAGAGTTAATGAACATATTAATCGATTGGGTAAATGATGTATTAGCTGATCATCGGATCATTGTAAAAAATCTAGAACAAGATCTTTATGATGGACAAGTTTTACAAAAATTATATGGTAAATAAATAAATGTAATTTTTGTGTCACTTTATGATAGATAGATAACTCATGCTGTTAAAATATTCTTATTGCTCATTGTCTTTTATTAAATCAATAGTATTAATTTAATTTATTTTAAGAATAAATTGAATTTTATAACTAATCTGATTGCCTAATTAATTTATTAAATTACTTTAAGGTAATATTTTTTTCTCTTTAAGTATCTAACAAGTTAATAAAAAGAAAAAAGTATATTTATTTATTTGAAAGCAATCATGATTATACAGAATTCTTCATAAATGTATTATATGATCCATTTATTAATGTAATTTGTTTGTAATTATCCACAATTAATATACTCAACTAGTTATAATTGAATTTATATTTATAATTTTCTTTAAAAAAAAATATCAAATGATTAATAATAATGATTTTTAGAAAAATTAACTAATGAAAAGTTGGATGTGCCTGAAGTAACTCAATCTGAAGAAGGTCAAAAACAAAAGTTGTATGTTGTTCTTGGATCTGTAAATAATGTAAGTAAATGTTCAAATTTAAATCTATTTTGTTCAAGTTTATGAAGTTCTTTAAATTAATAATATTTTTCTAGATCTTGGGACTAACTGGTTATAGATTATCCCAACAAAAATGGAGTGTTGAAAGTGTTCATTCTAAAAACCTTGTAGCCATTTTGCATTTATTGGTGTCATTAGCCCGTCATTTCCGAGCGCCAATTCGTCTTCCTGAAAATGTCACTGTCAATGTAGTGATTGTGCAGGTGTTTTGAAAATAAATATACATAATATTTAAATATTATTAATCTTCTCTATGATTTTTTCTTCTAAACTATAAATAATATTTTTATAGAAGCGTGATGGAGTGCTGAAGAATCGAACTGTAATTGAAGAGATCACATCTAGGTATGATGATCTTGGTATGAGATGCGAGCGTGATGCATTTGATACATTATTTGATCATGCACCTGACAAATTAGAAGTTGTTAAAAAAGTATAAAATACAAAATTATTATTTTTTAGTTTGTTTTTAATAACTATTTATTTTTTTCAGTCCTTGGTGACATTTGTTAACAAACATTTAAACAAGATTAATATGGAAGTTCAAGATTTAGACACACAATTCCACGATGGTGTTTACTTGACATTATTAATGGGATTACTTGAAGGGTTTTTTGTGCCATTATATTCATTTCATTTGTCACCTCAAAATTTTGAACAAAAAGTTCATAATGTCAATGTGGCATTTGATTTAATGCAAGAAATTGGACTAGCTGCACCAAAAGCTAGACCAGAAGGTAACATATTTTTTTGTTTTTTTAATAAAAACATTTTTTGTTAATTATTAAATGCATTGAAAATGGTCAAGTTTTAAGGAGATTACTATAGTCCAGGGTTGACAAATCTTTTTTGGATCTAAATTAAAAAAAAAAAAAAATTATGTGCTAGTAATATATTCATATGTTCTTTTAAGATTATAAACAACTAATGAGGGACTTTTCAAAATTTCATATGATAAATATTTGATTTTTGTTTGATGCCTGTATTTTATTTATTTTTCTTTCTGTTGTCATCTTTTGAGGCAGTAAAAATGCTACCATTTTCAAAAATAAGGGTGGTTTCTGGTAGAAATATAAATATATAGTTAATAATTTGAGGTTTATAAGTAATTTCTTACTAAGGAATAAAAGTTTCTAGTAATTTTTTATAATTTAGAAAAACAGAAATAAACTTAAGTTGAATGTTTTACACAAATCTAAATTTGATTTTTTTTGTAATTCAAAAACGAATAACTACAGATTTTTGAAATTTATAATAAATGTTAATATTATTAACATTTTTAATGTGTGATAAAAATGTCATCATTGTTTAGGTATAGCAATTAATCATTCGAATTCAAATTTAACACCCATATTATTGACCCACACAAACATTATTTATGGTAGAGCGTTGCCCACTTGCCCACATTTTTAAATATCAATTGTGTGTTGTTTGTTTTTAATGTTTTAATCAAACACTGTTCATTAATAACATTAGCTTCATCTTACTCATTCAATCAAACAATATTTATAATCTTTTTTTTTATTTTTGAAATTTTAAGTTCTAAAATCAAATTTTGGGTAGATTTAAAGTCAATATAAAAGTATGAATAAAAAGTTAAATTTGTGAAAGATTCAGATCTATTTTCAGAAATATTCTTACTTTGTTATTTTGTTTTCCAGTACAGTAAACAAAAGATGAATTTCTTTGGTAAATTTTTAAATAATCTTATTTACATATGAATTTTGTAATATAAGTTATTATAATATATATTTGTATGTTTATTAATATTTCTTACTTAATGCTTGGAACTATACCATTTGTTTCATTTTTATTCATTTAATTATGACATACTTGTTGCTATTGGTTAAAACTTAAAATTATGTCTATGATTTTTAGCTATAAGTCAATAATAATAATAATAATTTTTTTTTTTTTGTTATACAGACATTGTAAATTTGGATTTAAAGTCAACATTAAGAGTGCTGTATAATCTTTTCACCAAGTATAAAAATGTATACTAATCAATCAAATCAGATCTAATATTTAAGTATTGTTAATTTTAATAAAAAGTAACACTTATTTAAGTGACAGTATTGTTAATCGCACACAAGATATATGCACTTAATTTATGAAGAAAAGTAACTGACTTAATAATTATTAAGCTATTTACAATCATTAGCTTGACAATCAAAATTATAAATATATTTTAGTATTATTTATGTTTTCATATTATACTATAGGTTCTATATTTTGTATGTAATTTTTAGAATAATAAGATCACAGACTAACTAACTAATTTTATGAATTTATTAATTTTGTAATATTGTTTAATATTTTGTTGAATTATAACGTTTTATAATTTATTGTTTCAGTCACAAAAATAAATTTTATAACATTTAACTATAATCTTTATTAGCATAAACCTAATAGCTAATACATACTCGTTAAACATAAGAGGCTTTAGATTTTAAATTACAATTTAAAATTTGAATCAGCTTTTAATCCTGTTTATTTTAGGTAAATTTAGCTGTTAAAAAAAAAAAAAAAAAAAAAAATGAAATAGTAAATTTTATGTTTTGAAATATTCATTACTGAATTTACAAAATATATCTGAGGTTTAAGTGTACATTCAAAAATGTCCATTAAAGATCAATGATTTTATATCATAAAAGTTTATATTTCATAGTAAAAACAATGTGATTATATTAAAAGGTTTCATCAGAACTTTTGAAGTGGGCTAAAATGATATAACTGCACTATTTAAAGTTTTAATACAAAATTATTTTATTGTATATTTGTATGATGATACATATTTATACATACTTAAAAGAAAAATAGGAAACAAAGCACTTAAAAAACATGAACAATATTATAATAAAATAATAACAAAAATATATCACATGTATAATTCTTTAACAGAATCGCATCTCAGTTTATTGTTTACTTCGATAAATTTTATTCTACAGCTATGCTGTTGGTGTGAATAAAGCTGTTTTTTGCAAAACAATATTTGATCATCAACAACACTACTAACCCAAGTGTTTGACGGAAAATACATTGCAGATAGTTTATCTGTTTCGAGTGTAGTGTCTTGTGTTGAAACGGTTAAATATGTTGTAGAATTATGTACTTTACTACAATATGAAATGGCATCACACAAACAAGCACATAGCATGTGTGCTAATCTTGTAGTTCGATCACTGTCTTCATGCATATAGTAATTATTTAAGTCTGATACTAAAATTACATGTGGCACATTTGGACTATTTTCATGTATTGAACAAGTGTATTTGACAAGATCTTCCCACTGTGACAATGTTCTAGATATAAACAATGAATAAATGTGATTTAATATTAAAACGTATTATAATAACTTGAATCAATAGAAATCAATCAAAACTTTGATAGAATTAATTACAGGAATGTAATACGATTCAGTGCATGCACGCTAGGTGGTTTGGCACCATCTAAAGGAATTGGTAGAGATGTCATCTGAGATATTTGAATGTAAACCACTCTATATCCAAATTCAGCCCAGTATACAGCGCTCTATTAATGGTAAATAAAAATAATAATATTAATATTCACAACTATTAAAAAATGATGATAAAATATATATTTATAATATGATATAATAATTATTAAATGATTTGCTCAAGTATGGTAGGTTTTAATCTTTATAAGCGCTATTCTTATGCTAGTTTCGTTTATGAACCACATTTTAAGTATAGACAAACTGGGCATTGACCATCTGCATCAAAAATAAAAAAACATTTTTCAACTATCTGTTTGCATTAAACTTACCTATGTTGTATCTGTTTAACATGATAACAATAACCGATTGAATATTTTATTTTTAACATTTTAATAATTATAATACAAATTTAACCTTTTATACCCATTTAAATGAACAATTCTATAAATTGTATTCAAATATTTTATATTTATAGAAATATTAACTAAATTAGTTTAGACTTCAAATGGTTGTTTATATTAAAATTTGACAAAATATTTCCAGTGGTGGATCTCTTTAATCTTGTATTTCTATACTGTTTATTATTGTATCAATTGTAACAGATTGCTAAAAAATTATTTTAAAAAATAAATATTAAAATCAATAGTAGCTAGTATTAACAACATATCCAACCATCCAAAAAATTCAAAGTTTGGATAAAAAAAACTTTATTGAATAATTTTTAAATAAAATCTATTAATTATTTATTTGATTTCAAAAAAATGTATAGGTACTAATAACTATTATAGATTATAATTAAAAAAAAAACTTGTTTGATTATAAAAAAAAAGAATTATTGACAGTTATTTTAAAACAATCTATACCTACCTATTATAACAATTATATTGTTAAAAGTAAAAGTATATTTAATTAATTATTATATGTTAATTAACCACTGTAAAACACAGGAAAATTTGTTGTAAATAGATGATTGGAAAAAATATACCTTTTTAATTTTGGTGTAGATGGGACATGGGCTATGGTGCTAAACCCAAAATGATATCTATGACCTACAAATTATCCTAGTTAAAGGCACAATGTGGGGGAGGGTCTCAGTTCTATTCGTTTTCCTAATACCTCTTTCAGCTATTTTCAGTTTACATGCAATATTGATAAATATTGTAAAAGTAATATGCAATGCTCTTTTATAATTATAAACTATTATTATAGTGTAAACACTAATAAATATTATAATGAATTTCTTAATTTTATTTGCAATAAAACGTAACATCGAAAAAATGAATAAAAATATATCACCTACTTCAAATAATATAGTCTGAGAATAAGTTGCGGATGAACCACAAAGCAACGTACATTTTACTTTACAACCGTCCATGGAAAATAACCAATATTTTAACTCGGGAGCAAAAACTAAAGACTTAAAAAGCACATAATAAATGTTTTCAATGATTACATAGTATATTATTAATTAATTAATTTTTAAATAAAATGTCAACTATGAATCTGTCATGGTAAATTGAATTAATATAAATATTAAATAACTTAAATCAATTAATCAACTTAATATTTAAAAGTTTTATTTTTATTTCTAGTTGACTGTTATCACCACGGATCATAGTTGTAGATAATATTATCAAAAATTAATCACCGAACAATGTATTGGTCATTGGAACAATATATTGACATGGCGGAAAAAGATATTATGTAAAATATTTCCAAGGGAAAATGTCAAAAATGGTGCTGTTTAAAATTTTAATATTGTACATTTGTAGTATTTGTAGTTTGTACTATTGAGTTCTAACAGTGTAAAAAATAAAAATATTACCTACGTTTTAAGACTACAATCTAGAGAAAAGAATAAAGTTTCAAATTATAATACTTTATTAAAGCCATATAGGTAATTATTTATTATTAACTACGTATATAGAATATTATATAATATTTGTAGGTAGGTACGAAAATAGACAAATAGTATAAATTTGACCTATAATTTGTTTTTAGAATATATACCAATTTTATACTATTTTTCTCTAAAAGATGACTGCTACAGTGACAATAATTATTATTTTATAATTTTATATCATAGATATAAAATTGATATCAACTGCCATTTTGGAAAATTTAATAAAATCAATTAAACTAGGTAGGTATTAATGCATAAATGCATATGTCGGTACACAATTATTTCAGTATGCTAAAAAATAGTAAATTTTTACTTATGTACCTATTAATGTTTGACTTGTTTGAGACAAGTAAAAAGTACGTTAGATGAAAAACAGAGAAAAAACAAAATAAGTAGTTTTGTTTCAAGTCTTACAATAATGACGAAATTTTTCGAAAAAAAATGTTTGCGTATTTATATTAAATTAATAAAATAGATAGGAACCTTTATTCAAAAACGATTAAAATAATAATTAATATGAATACAGTTAATTAGTATCTACTTTATTTCCAATAATGTTATAAAATTGAAGAACATATTTTTATTTATTCAGCTTAGTTGATAAAAATAAATGTACTTACCTATCTATAGATTATTTTTATTTTTATTATAAGCAATCTTTATTTTATCTTCAGTAATGATAAGGGTACCTATCAATAGTAATCTAACGGTTTTTATTATTTTGTAATTATGGGCATTCCCAGACATTTTTCTAGGAGGAGGGAGGCAAAATAAATTTAAAAAATAAATGAAGATTTTTTTGTACATTTATTTATAGTACATTAATATGTTTGTCATTATTACATTAAATTATTATAATTAGGTAACAAATTTAAAATTCTAAGTGGAGAAAGTGCGCTGTCTCGCCCCCTCTGGAGACGTCCATATATGTAATTAAAGTTTTATAAAAATAATTCATGCAGATTTATGAATTATGTCTTCTTGCCTATTAGCCGGTTATATTTTTTAGACAACTTAATTTAAACCTTAAAGTAATTTGCAGAATGTAAACTAAAAACTTAACTTTCATTAACGGAAAATAAGTATTGAAATGTTTCAATGGTAAGAGTTAGTATTTGTTAGTCGTTAATAATGATATTAATGCTTTATATTTTCAGAAAAGTATAATATTTCTCTTGCTTATTACGAAACGTTGCATATATTTTAAATAATGATGTACCTACATAAGTATGTAATAAAAAATTTAATTTTTAAACTTTTATTTGAAATTTTTGAAATTTTTGACATTTATTGATTGCTTATTCAAGCCATTTGTTGCTTTTTATTGTATTTTTCTCAATTTCATTAAAAACTGTCATTTTTAAATTACGCAGGTTTTACCTGCAAATTAATTTTTCTTAACTGATATTTTAAAATGTAGTATCTATTCAAAAAAAAATTTAAATAATGTAACAATGCAGTATTTAATTTCGGAATTAGTATTTTACAGTTTTTTACGTTTTTATTGATTTGAGCCTTTTTTTTTTTTTGCAATTTAGGAACTTTAAATAAAATTTTTTCAGTTTTATAGTGTACTAGCTAAATTACTCGACTTGCCTGTGTGTAGCTTATTCTTTCTCAAAATTATTGTAATGACGAATAAAATTAAATTGTGAATAATAGATCAGTATTTGGTACAACTCAGTGAAAAAAAATTTGAAAAATGTTAAATAGTGTCGTCACAAAACGAGAACATAAAAAAGGGCTGTTCTTATACATATAAGGATTCAAATCTAAATATATATTGATAAGACTAGCTTTCTTATTCTATTAAATGGCCGATTATAAAGCTAACATGGATTATTTATATAGATACTTTTATTTTGGGAATAACAATTTTATAGCGAGTATGATATAACAATAAGTAATGTTTAGGTATATATTTTTATATTATGTCTTCCAACGTCCTTGAGTCGCCGGTTCATAACCTTATATTTTTTCACCGCCCCTAGTGATATACCTTATGAATTCCGTTGGCTAGTCCACCTCTGAAAGAATAAGTTTGAATATCTATCATGTACCAATACTCCCTTATTAAATGAATAAAAGTCTTCGTTCGATTGTATGATCTATCTTTAATATAAGTATGTAGGCATACTATCATAGAAACTGCGCAGGAGCCAGGAGTGGCAGGATTAAAGATAAAATATTATTATTCTACATTCAAATTAATATTGATTGGTTATCGATTGCATGTCTTATGATAATATAATACTGTGATTTGTGTATGATAAGTGTATGATAATTTATTTATTTCGATTTATTAATGTAATAAGTCCAAAAACCATATTTTAAACACTATTTACCAATTAATAAAGTTTTAATATCTTTGTTAGACAAACTTGTCTTAAAAACCATTTCAAGATACACTTCATACACAAAATGTATTCCGAGAATCACGAGAAAAATCACTTGAATATAGGTACTATTGACCTATAATAGTAGTAATACTGTAATGGATTTGAAACTTCAGGTGTCAACCACTCGACGTGTAATGAAATATCCCGGAAATTCTCGGAATAGTAATATTTAATGTAAATATAATACACAGTTTAATGTTTAATAGAATGTCATAGATGTTTTATTTTTAAAAATATTTGTTCATGTCCAGAGTGAATTATATTTTATTAATGTTTTACTACTTATCTACATATTTTAATTTGAAATTTCTTGAATAAACAAAAAAGGATGTCATTAGGTTTCGGTAAAGTAAAAACGAATACATTTGACATTTGTAGTTTAGCTGGTTTCTTTTTCAACCATTGAAATTGATGCAACGTCAGAAAAAGTTGTAGAAAGTATAGAGAGTAATTTTAAGAAAGCGTGTAAGCTAAATATAAGGTAGCGTGATAGTCGAGAGATCACAATACGTTTGGGAATTTTTCTAACGGGTATTATCTCATCAAGTCTGCAACTTTTAAGGGGTTTCTACAAATCACAATAACTTTATTTCGACGACTCATTCGTTACACGTGTATTTAAGTAGGTAGGTACCTACCACAGTGTTAGTTAGAATCCGGGTTCAAACTTCTAAAACTGTGTTTTATATAGTGTCCAATTGGATGAACTTTCAGGAAGATTCTAATGATTCTATATTTGTTTATTCAACATTAATTATTTATAGTTAATCGTACATTTATAATGTCGATGATTTTCAATGAAATACATGGAAGTACTATCCCGGTGTTAAATATATAGTATGCTATAGTGGCACTATTGAGAAATCGAAATCGTTTCTATATTTCAAAGCAAAGTTCAAACCACAACTGTTTCAAAAAATTAACGTTGAAACTTCAATATTTGCAGTCGTAAGCATGTCCATAACATATTTTCATATTGGTATATTCACATTAATAATATTCAATATTGTCCTATTCCTTCCATCGATTATTATTTATAAATGTACCTAATACTTTTAAAATATGGGATTGTATCGATTTTAGTAACGAATAGACAATAACATAAATATGTAGGTACGGTAGCGTAATAGGATTTTTTCAAGGGAGGTGTCTGTTAGTGATATTACTACAGTCTCCTATTTATCTCGCACGAATATAATTATCACATCAAACTAAAACCTGATTTGAATATATACCTTCCTAATAAATGTTCTACAGCCGTGCATAGATGAAACTAACCTTCACGTACAGAGGGTACAAATATTTTTGGAAATCTCAATCCCACCCCACCACTATAAAAGTATTACTATAGTCTAAAATATATACTGTACCATAACTATATGTATTTTATTCAATAACTAAATAATTAAAATTACAAATTGTCAGATTACCTGTATCATATATTGTACACAATGAATTTTTACCAGAATCTTAAAGCGTCATATGATAAGAACTTAATTTAGTTAAAACGGTGTTACCGCACACCCTGTAAACTCACTGACTATGCTATGTTGCCGTGGCATCATGTGTAAATATTATAATTATTTTGTTGCAGAATTCGTGCCAATGATAATATATTTATGTCTAATAATATAATATTATAATATGAAGTACCAAAAACACACACACACACATACATATATATATTGATATATATATATGTACATTTTGATCGTAAAATATGTTGAGTTCAGTTAAAACATCAATGTACTTTTCAACTCTATTTCCCAAAACCCCATTAGAGCGCTCTGTATATTTCCAAAGCGGATTTGGCCTCGTTCATTCTCTGTACACGGTCCGTAAAGCTTTTAGCATGTACCACCGTAAACACACACACACTCATACATATAGGTAGACACGTACACACACAAGTTAACAGGACTTTTTGCGCAAAGCCTCTTAATTCATGCTCGATAAACTCTACGTGACGTATGTGAAGCATATAGTATATACCAGTCAATTTTTTTCCTGTTTTCACCCGCCAGCCGATTTCTGGTGGCTGACCCTCGGGGGACTATATCGTACCCGACCCCCGACCACCCACTATACACTCCACCACCAGTGTGTATTGGTAACAGCTGCCATTGTTCCCGCCGCATTATTCCTGAGGGCACTGCAGCCGACTCTCCCCCTTCCCCGCTCCGGATTGTTACCAGCCCCG